GGCGGCAGCGCGCCCACGCGGTCCGGGTCGGAGTACTTGGCCGCAGTAAGCGCGGCCCCGTCCACCATCCCCGCGACCCTCCGCTGGCGGCCGAGCATGGGCGCGCGGGCGTCGGGCGAGCCCGGGGTCGGGGCCGGGGTGCGGTTGCTGCTGCTGCTGCTGTTGCTGCTGTTGCTCGGGCTGCTGGCTCCCGGCGCCCTAGGGGCGCGGGGCCGCGGCGCCGCGGACAAGAACAGCCACCGGCGCGCGATCAACACCTTCTCGCAGAGCGTCAACAGCCTTTTTGGAGAAGACAACGTGCGCGCGGCTCAGAAGGTGGGCGGCTGCGCCTGGGTCACCTTGCGGGCCCCGGGGACCAGCCTGGATTGCTCGTGGCCTTGGCGATCGGGGACCCAGCGTGGGGATGATCCGGGCCTGCTGCGCCCCGGCCTGCAGCGGCGTCCCTGGGCGCCCGCGCGTCCCCTTGGACCTTGGCCCGGGCTGCGTGACGCCCGCGCGCCCCATTCATCCTCCACGTCTCAATGGGCGCCCACTGTGAGCCAGGCACGGGGGGACTCCGGTGACTCCAAGGCCTTCTCTGCCTCGGAGATGTCTGGGGTGATGGGGTTTTGGCCACCTGAGCACCTACTGTGGGAGCGGGGGACCTTCGCTTGCAGCTTTTGGTTTACTTTGGGAACTGGGGTCTCCTCGAACTGGGATGAGCCCCAGCATGAGCGCGGGGCGCTCACCCTACTCCCTCCTTGGCACCTGACTTGGGTGCACCATGCTGGAGAAACGGGAAGTCAAAGGGGACAGTTGCACGGGGTTCCCTTCTTGATCTCTGGCCCCAGGGTTGTGGAGTCCAGAGAACTTTGGGTTCAAGTTGGGGCTCTTCTTATAAGCTGGATGGGGTTAGGCCTGTGGCTTCACTTTGTGGGTGCATGCGTGCGTGTGTGTGTGTGTGTGTGTGCGCGCGCGCGCGCGTGCGCTTGGGTGTGGAGAGCAGAGGTCAACCTTGGGTGTCTTTCCTAAGGAGCCATCCACTTTGGCTTTTGAGACATCTGTTAGTGGGTGGGCCAGTGGAGCCCCAAGGATCCTCCCTGTCCTTATCGCCCCAGTACTGGAATCGCAAGCAGGTGCCACCCTGCCCTGTTTTTTTATGTAGGTTCTAGAGATTGAATTCAGGTCCTCATGCTAGTACAGCAAGCACTTCACAGACTGAGTCATCTTCCCCAGCCCCAGTGGCTTCACTTTTTATAAGATTTTGAAAATTACATTTATTTATTGTGTGTCTGTGCTTGTGTGTGCACATGTATGGAAGTCAGAGGACAGCTTTAAGTTCTCTTGTTCCACCCTGTGGGTTTAGGGAATCGAATTCACGTCATTAGGCCTGGTGGCACCTGCTGAACCATCTTGCCTGCCCCTGGTTTTACTTCCTTTAGCCTTAATTTCTCTGTTAAATGTGAATGGTAACAGTAGTCCCTTGGGTATGGGATTGTGATGCAGTAGATACCTTCCTGAACCACATCATGGCCTGTGAATGCCAGCTCTTCATGTTTCCTGACCATGGGACAAATTGATATTGTTTAGCCCTGATGGAGGGATTTTTTCTTTCTTTTTTTTTTTTTTTAATCGGAAAACAGGCTTCAGGGAATCCAGGGAAACCAGTGGGAGCCACATAACGCTGGGGTCTTTGTTGTTTCTATTCCTTATGGAGGAAAGGGGAGAAAGGGGTGAGGGCAGAAGGGAACTGTAATCTTTTGAGATAGGGTCTCCCTGTAGCCCCAGCTGTACTGGAACTCACTGTGTAGACCAGGCTGGCCTTGAACTCACAGAGATCCACCTGCCTCTGCCTCTGAGTGCTGGGATTAAAGGCATGTGCCAACATGCCTGGCCCCTGCTGGAGGAATTTTGATTGTTTTTTTTTCTTTTTAAGTTAATTGGATTTTGACATGGAAGGGAAAAGACAATTAAGAGCCCAAATCAGGAGGCTGGAGAGATGGTGCCAGGAACTGTCCCTAAGTCCAGTCTGGGGGGAATCCTACGCTGTCTTGACTTCCACAGGCATTGCACAACACAGGTGCACTTACACATAAAATAAACATAATAAATACCAAAAAATATATAAAAGAACCAAATCAGGCCTGGCATAGTGGCACTTGCCTTTGATTCCAGCTGGGGAGGCAAAGGCAGCGGATATCTGTGAGATTGAGGCTAGCCTGGTCTACATAGTGAGTTCAGGTGGGCTGGGGCTAGGGAGACCCAGTCAAAAAAGGAAAAAAAAACCAAACAGATGGCTCAGTAGTTAAGAGCACTGGCTGCTGTGTTCTGGCAGAGGATCCAGGTTCAGCTCTCAGCACTCAAGTGGCAGTTCACAACTACTTGTAACTCCAGTTCTAGGGGATCCCATTTCCTCTTCTGTCCTCCACCAGGCATGCATGTGGTATACATACATACATGGAGAGAGAGAAACAGGGTCTCACTATGTAGCCTTGGCTGACCTTGTACTCACCCTGTAGTCTAGGCTGGCATTGAACTCAGAGATCCACCTGCTTCTTCCTCTCCAGTGCTGGGATTAAAGGCTCAAAACATTACATCAGGTTTGACTTGGCATTCTTAGTCAATGTAATGAGAGATTAATGTGTTAGGAAAGAGACTTTTGCTTCCTCTCCCCTACTCATGGGATAGCTCTTTAGAATTTCTTTGTTTATTGCAAGCGTGTGTGCATGGACTCCAGTGCGCATGTAGAGGTCAGAGTAGGACCTGCAGGAGGGAGTTCTTTCACCATGTGAATCCTGGGGATTGAACTCAGGTCTTCAGGCTTTGCAGCAAGCTCTTCTAATTGTCTGAATCTGCTCACTGGCTCTCATGACTGCTCTTTTGTAGAGCTTGTGGGCCAGTGATGTCCTATAGTGGGAAAATGTAGTCTGGGGTGAGAACTCTTTGATGGTGGCCAAGGATAAAGTATGGCTGAAACCCTGGGCAATAGGTCTGCCTGGGCATTCCCTTGGGGGAGCCTGGAACCCTTTTGCTTCTCCTTTGCCTCAGCCCTTGGAAGGCAGTGGCCATTTGTTTTAGGCCAAAATGAAGTTTATCTTTTGTGGGTATGGGAGGCACTGGGAACCCCTTGTCCCAGCTTACCAGTCCATGTGAGAGTCTAAGATTAGTGAATATGAAGTATAGAATTGATTTCTAAGAGGTTGTTTTTTCCTGTTTTAATTTTTTATTTATTTACTTTTATTCTTTTATTTGCATGTTTGTCTGCGTGTGGGAACACATGTGTGGAGGTCAGAGGAGAACTTGCAGAAGTCATTTCTCTCCTATCATGTGGGTCCTGGGGGTCTGGAAGTCAGAGCTTGGTGGCTAGCACCTTTCCTTACCCACCAAAGCCATCTCGCTGACCCTCTTTCTTTCGTTCTTTTTTTGAGACAAAGTCTCACTATGTACCCTGGCCCTCTTTGTTAATTTTAATGAAAGGAAAAGTCTGCTAGCAAGTGTAGTTTTCAGTTGGCCTGGGTTTACCAAATAGACATGACTTGTCTGAAATAAAATAAAGTGTGGTGTGGGTTCGAAGTGCTCTACCACAGTAGCGCTGTGGTCTGGGGTCTTGGCTTTGACTACTGCTCTATGTCTCATTTGGGGAGAAGAGAGAAATTGCAGAATTGAATGTGACTGGGTTGTAGATACCAGGCACTGAATGCTAGCTTAGTGGTGGGAAATATTTACATATGAAAGGGCTTTGTTTAGTAGAGTGATATACTCTTTTCATTCATTTGAGAATTATTGCTGACAGTGGGGCTCCTGTGGTAGCATGAGTGCTTAGCATGCACAAGGTTGTGAATTCAATCAGCTGCCTCCAAAACTGATATGTAAAAATCTTTAAGCAATCTTTAAGTATTTATAGTAGCCCTTTTCAGGGTAGTCAGAAAGGGAACTGAAGAGCTGGCCTAGCCTTTAAGAGCTCTTGCAGAGGACCTGAGTTTAGTTCCCTTCACCTGTGTCCTGTGTCCGGTGCTCACAGCTTCTGGAAACTCCAGCTCCTTGGGATCGGACACCCTCTTCTAGCCTCCAGAAGCAATGTGGACATACCCACACATACACATATGCATACTCGTAATTAAAAATAAAAATAAGCCCAGCATGGTGGCACATACCTTTAATCCCAGCACCAGGCAGAGGCAGGCATATCTCTGTGAGTTCGACGACAGCCTGGTATATATACTTAAGTTCCAGATCAACCAGGCCTGCATAGTGAGCGCCTGTCTCGAAAAGCAAAAAATTCAATCAGAAGGCAGAGGCAGGCAGCTCTCTGTGAGATCCAGATCCAGGCCAGCCTGGTCTACATTGTCAGTTCTAGTTGGGCTGGGACTAGGAGACCTGTCAAAAAGAAAAAAAAAAAAAAAGCAAAAATCTTTTTCATAAAAATAAAAAAGCCAGAAAGTGGAATAGGCATGAGCTGATGAACGGATGACCCAATGTGCTTCATCCATAGAACAGAACTCCATTCAGTTCTAAAATGGGTTGGAGCACTGACAAAATGGAGGAAACTTGAACATGGGGAAAGAAGTCAATCAGACTCAAAGGGCCATGAAGTGTCTGATTCCCTTTATGTGATTTATCTGGAAGAGGAAACTCCACAGAGGCAGAGAGACTAGTGAGTGTCCCAGCTGGGACAGGGGACAGCAGTTTATTGCTTTATTGATAATAAGTTTCCTCTTGGGCTGACAAAAAAGTCCACAGCTAGTTAGAGGTGGTGGGTATGGGACATGTTGAACATGCTCAGTACCACCAAACTGTGCGTGTAAAAATGGTGAAATGTGCGTATCTGTGTATTTTGCCATGATTTAAAAAATTTAGGGGCTGTGGATATGGCTTAGTTGGCAGAGTGCTTGCCTATCATAGATGAAGTCCTGGGTTTGATCCCCAGCATGGCATAAACTGGGTGTGGTGACTTGTGCCTGAAATCTCATCGTGAGGAAGATCGGGGCAAGGAGGGTCAGAAGTTCAAGGCCAGCCTCAGCTACAAATGGAGTTCAAGGCTAGCCTGGAATACATGAAACTCTGTCTCAAATTTTTAAAGAAGATTTATTTATTTGTTTATTTACTGTATGTATGTGTGCCTAGGTGAGTTTATGTGCACCACGTGTGCAGGTGCCCCGCAGATATCAAAAGGCATCAGATCCCTTGGAACTGGTGTAGCTGGCTTGATATGGGTGCTGGGAACCAAACCTGTGTCCTCTGTAAGAATAATAAGTTCTCTTAACTGCTGAACCATCTCTCCAGCACCTCACATAAAGTTATTATTTTTTTTTTTTCAAACATTGGGGTTAGGGGGA